GAGTTTTCAGCCACCAGGTCCGGGATGTGAACCGCGGTCGACTACGTGGGAGTCCAGCAACATAGCCATTATGCTAACTGCTGGTTCCCCAGAGGCTCAGACTCTTGAGAGTCGTTGGGCTTTATCACATAGCCTCTGGCACACATGAGTCTTAATACAGCATTAGGTGATTTGCTCCCTCTTGATCACCAGGTCCAGGAAGCATAATGTCATCAAGTGGTGGACCAGCATGACATTTGCAGTTATTGAGTTCCATTCACCCTGAGCTTTGACAGAGAACCAGAGAATAGACATCGTTCTAGGGTGGACTTCTCTGTTCTTGGGAGATGAAAGCAAGCTGCTTCTGAAAGTCTCTGTGGACTGGGAACAAAAGAGCATTTGTCAGATTAATGGCTGCATACTAGATGCCAGGGAGCTGTGTGGATTTGCTGTTGGAAAACATCACCTGGAACAGCACATCAATTTCAGTCACAATGCGGTTAATCGTACAGTTACCCACTACTCATCTCCAGGCTAACCAGACAGACGTCATCATTCCTGTATTGTTCAGGGTGCACCGTTCCCAGACGAATGCAGATTGCTTCTGCACAGTTACTCCTCCCAAATTTCTAGGAAGAGGTAATCTCTTTGTGTTACCACTTTTATTCTTCCATCCAGTCCCATCCCGACTTCTGTGCACTCCAGCCTGGGGACAATAGAAAATCGGAATGGCAAGTAGTTTCTGGCATCTAGATGCCCTATGTGGCTTCTCCATCTGTTACTTATCTAAAATAGGTTTACTTTAGCAGCTCATAGAGTACAGTAAATGGTTTAGCTAGAAGGATTTCTGAAAATAAATGTCCACTATCATGAAAGAGCTTCTATTTCCATTGTGTTATGGTGGCCAAAGTGGCTATGCATCAAACTAATGTGCTATGAAAAGAGGGACAATGTGAAAACAAAGTTCTGAGTCATGATGGACACGGGAATAGCTACACGAGTGTGTGAGGGCCAATAATGAGGGAGAAGGGCAGCACCATCCTAGATCTGCCATCTCCCACCTACCTCTTGTTTTAATGAACCTATGAAGCATGGGAATCAAAGGCCCTAGAGTGCCATAGTGCAAGTTCAGAGAGGGGAGCTCTCTTTTTAATAGATAGACATCTAGGTTGTCGAGAAGTCGTGACACATTTTTGCATAGAAAAAAACATAGAAAAATACATCATGACTTTCCTGATAACCTTGTATAAAGTGCTTCTCTGAGAGTGCAAGCTGCCTAATTTCCATCTGAAATATGAAATTTGACTTTATTATTATCAAAGATAGCCTTTCTCATGTCTCATGAAGAAATCTGGACAGCATGCCTGTTATTGTAATATTTTTAATCACATGAAGTTGTTACAATTCCAAATCAAACACTTTTCAACTCATTCTATGAAGCCAGTATGACTCTGAAGCCAAAACTAGGAAAATACAGTTTAAAAAGAGAAAAAAGAATTACAAACCAATATGCTTCAGGAATACGGATACAAAAATCCTTTGTAAGATACTGACAAATAGAATTCACAAATACATTTTAAAAATTGCAATGTGATCAAGCGGAATTTATCTCAAAGATACAAGGTTCTCTCAATATTTGAGAACCAATCAACGTAGTCCACCATAATATTAGGCAAAGGAAGCAATGGGTGTACATTAATTGATGCAGAACAAGTGTATGACAGAATCTGACATCAACTTATTTCTCTTTTCCTTTTTGTTATTTGAGAGGGCATGTCTATGTACATGAGAGTGAGAAAGAGAAATCCCTCCAACTGGGCCTGATCATATTGCAGTCCTTTTCCCTCCAATTCATCTTGTCAGGATCCTGGGATTATGCGTTGTGCCCACTGTGTTTTCCAAGCCTCTGATCAGTTGTGTAGGATCCTGCTTCCTCTGCACAGCACTTGACCATTGTGCCATAGGGCTAGTCCCAACACCAACTTATGACAAAAGCTCTCAGACAACTAGGAATAGCGGGGAAACATTTTCTCCTTGTTAAAGAACACCTATGGAAAATTCATGGCTAACATCATAGCTAATGGTGAAATCCTGGACACGTTCCTTCCAAGATTGAGAACAACGCAAGGAATATCCACTCTCACCACTCTCATTCAACACAGTACTGGCTGGGTTAGCTGAAGCAGCAAGGTAAGAGAAAGAAACAAGGGGCACACAGATTAGGACTGCAATCAAGAAAAGGTCTTGATTTGCAGATGGTTAATTTGTCTTCACAGGGACCAGCAGTTAGCGTAATGGCTATGTCACTGGACTCCCATGTAGTCGCCGGCGGTTCAAGTCCCGGACCTGGCGCGTGTGCATGCGTGCCCAAGATCCTGAGAAGAGAATGGAGGAGAAGGGATTGCGGCGTGGCCATCCCCCCCTGGGGGGTGATTTCTCACTTTCTGTCTCTCTGTCTCTCTCTGTCTGTCTGGTGAGTACATGCGCCCTATAGCAAAAAACAAACAAACAAACAAAAAACATCTCCAAAAACAGAAAAAAAAATTGTCTTCACAGAAAATCTCAAAGAATGTATAAACATGACTACCATAAGTAAAAAGTTGTCAGTTCATAGAATTCAAGATCAAACCATAAATCTCTTTATACAATTTCAAGGCTTATGATAAAATTATAAAGAGACTTCAAAAAGTATGTGGAAAAACAGAATTAAAGTACAGGTTTATTTTGGTAAATGTAGAAACGGAAATCCATGCATAGTTTTTCCATAATGTGCATTTTCAATGAACTTTTGGAAGACCCCTGTACAGTAATCAAGACTGTGGTATTGGGACCAGCAGTTAGCATAATGGCTATGTCGCTGGACTCCCATGTACTCGACCACAGTTCGAGTCCCGGACCTGGTGGCTTAAACTCACGCCGGGTGTGTGTGCATGCATGCCCAAGATCCTGAGAGGAGAACGGAGGAGAAGAGATTGCAGTGTGGCCATCCCCCCCGGGGGGGGGGTGATTTCTCATTTTCTATCTCTCTGTCTCTCTCTGTCTGTCTGGCGAGCGCATGTGCCCTATAGCAAAAACCTCTCCAAAAAAAAGAAAAAAAAAAAGACTGTGTGGTCTTGGTGAACAGAAGGACATATACATAAGGGCTTCTCATACACTTACTCTCATGTGTACATACTTGCTCTCTGTCATGCTTACACAATAAAATAAATAAACAATTTTTTTGAAATGTAGAAACAAATTTCATTTAAGATCTGAAGTACAATTCCTAAAATATCAACTTCTCCAGAAAACTGTGGCTACACAATAACGCATTGCCTCTATCTTGTTAGAACATGCATTAGACTCAAATACAAAACCCATGTAACAAACCACCATCCTTCAACAATTTGAGCAAAGATAGAATGCATAAGGAACAACATAGATGGACTTGCAGAGGATGGGCTATTTTACTTCAAGCACCATAAAAAAAAAAAAAGAGCACAAATGCATGGGTTTTCAGGTATATACATTAAGTTGAACCTTTGGCACTAGGAAATCAGGGTGTTTTGTCATGTAGCATTAACACATATTAGAAAATCCTGTAGGGTCAAAGGGATAGAACCACCAGCATTCAAGCAATGTTGTCAACGAGGCAATAAAATGTTCTACTGAATGTTTCTTCTTTTTTTTTTTTTTGGAGAGATTTTCGCTATAGGGCACGTGTGCTCGCCAGGCAGACAGAGAGAGACATAGAGACTCGGGATCTTGGGCACGCATGCACACGCGCCCGGCGTGAGTTTTAAGCCACCGGGTCCGGGACGCGAACCGTGGTCGACTACGTGGGAGTCCAGCAACATAGCCATTACGCTACCTGCTGGTTCCCCTGAATGTTTCTTCTTTGTCTAATCACTGCATACACTGGTAGCAACTTTGAAATGAGAAAAGGAGCTTGGACTCCTTTTATTTTGTGTTTAAAACAGAACAGAAAACAAACGGAAACATAAGACCTGTTATACATTAACAATTTTAAAGAACATCAATTATACAAGAAAAAGACTAAGATCAAAAGGTGTTTACAGATACCAGACATTAACAGTGAGTGGTACTCAGCAGAAGCCACTTTGTAATCACTGGCAGTAAACAGAGATTCTGAATTCTTTGCCAGATATATCAGAAAATCATGCAAATAGCCCAACAATAATGCAAGGCTCTTCTCATCAAGGGGTGTATAGGCCAACATTGCTCCAATTCTTATAAATAATCTCAGTAGGTGTGGCACTCCATAAACCTGGGACATCAGTGCATCAGGGTGAGCCAAAAGGATTTCGGCATGCTGGGGCCTCTCGAATTTGTAGAACAGCTGAGTGCCCAACATCATATCAAAGTATTCTTTTATTCCTGCCATGACCTCATTAGCCACGTATTTCTTGTTGTCGATGTTTCCCTGTGACTTCTTGCAGTTTGCATACTCTTCCAGGATTGCATGTACGTTTCTCTTTGCAGGGAGTTGGAACAGCTGCTTCTGCCTGGTCACTAAGTCCCAGTCCTCAACAAACCATGGTTTCAATTCTTCAGGAATCTTCACTTCAACCTCCATTCTATTCTTGAATGCCTCTTCACTTCAACAGTGGGGTCTGCCCTGGCCCTTTTCTCCCGAGGGGGCTGAGGTGCTTTGCTGGTACTGCCACCATCTCTGTTTCCAGGAGTCTTCTGCTTGTTCTTTCTTGTCTTCCTCACAGACCCTGAAGGGGTGTTTTCTGCAGAGCAACCCCCCATCTTCCTGGCAGAGCTGGCTCCACACTCTTCAGCTGGGGACCAGCTGTCTTCTTTCCCGAAGAGGCACCTCTCATCTTACTTCTCTGCATGTTGCTCCTAGTTGGTGTGTTGAAGTTGTCTTCGTCTGCAGATTGTTGTCCACGAGTCTGAGAACCCTGCTTTCTGGAGCTCATTCAATCCTGTTTTTATTCCACCAACAATCCTCTTTCTTCCTCTTTCAAGAATTCCTATTGATTCCTCAGATGGAATTTTATCGATCTTCTGGGATGGCCTGGAAGGATGAAGTGGGAGACACAACCCAAGATCCTGTAATCAAGGATGGTTCTGCGACCAGGGTCAGATCTCCTGATCCTTACTGTACAGCAAACTTAGCTTTTCTGATGGTGACCTGAAACAAGAATTCAGTTCTTCCCAGCAGCCGATGTGTGATCACTGCCGTTCCTCCAACTGCCATAGTCAAAAGAAATTTTTTAAAAAGGTAACAGTAGGCCCAGCAGGTGGTATGGTGGTTAAGGTCTCTGGACTCACACATGGATGACCCTGGTTTGAATCCCAGATCTGGTGGCTTGCTTACTCACTTTCTCACTCTCTCTTTCTCTGCTCCTCTCTGGTCAAATTAAAATAAATAAAGTTAAATAAGATAATTTTTTAAAAATAAAATAAAGTTTCTTTAAAAAAAACAAGATAAAAGTTTTAACTCAAGGATCAACAGGTGACATGGTAGTTAAGGTGGCTGGAGCCTACAAGGCCAACTGTGCAGTTCAAATACCAGACCTGGCAGCTTGAAAAACATGCTGGCCACATGTGAGTGCATGCCCAAAATCCTGAAAGGAGACTGGAGCAGAAGGGATTGTGGTGTGGTCAACATCCTCTATGGGGCGCTTTCTTTCTCTCTCACTCTCTCTGTCTCTGGCAAGCACATGTTCCCTATAGCAAATTTTAAAAATTGTTTTTACTCAAAATGGAACCTAGATTTAAATGTCAAATTATAAAAGTTATGGGGCCAGCAGATGGCATAGAAGTTATGTCACTGGACTCCCACATGGCCAATCATGGTTCAAGTCATGGGTCCAGTAGGTGGAAAAATGCTGGGCACATGTGAATGCGTGCCCAAGATCCCAGGACGAGAATGGAGGAAATGGGATTTGGGGTGGCCATCCACCCTGGGGGGTGATTTCTTTCTCTCTCTCTCTCTCTCTCACGCACGCGGGCACGCGAGTGCACATGCTCTAAGGCAAAAACATCTAAAAAACTATAAAACTTTTAGATAGCAATAAAGGAGAAAAACCTTTGGGAAAAGGTACTGATAATAATTTCTTAGACGTGACAGCAAAACTATGATCTATAAAAGAAAAATAATGAATAAATTGAACTTTATTGAAATGAAAACTTTTGCTCTACAAAACACCTTAACAACAGAAAAGGACTAGTTATAGACTGGAAGAAAATATTTGCAAACTACATATGCAACAAAAACTCATTTCAAGAATATATAATGGAATCTTAAAACTCAACAGCTTAGAAAAAAAAAGGAATAATTCAATTAGAAAATAGACAAAAGAGTGCTGGATCCCACATTACTGACCACATGGTTCGAGTCCCAGACCAGACAGCCTGAGAATTATGCATGAATTTCAAAAAGTTTTGCACCAAAATAAACTCATACTTCAATTCCATTTCCCATGAACTTTTCTTTAATTGCTAGAGGGCATGCGTGTTCTCCAGAGAGCAAGAGATGAAGAGACAGAGCGGGAGAGAGAAAGAAAGGAGAAGAACAAAAAGCACCTTCCAGTAGGGCATGGTCGCACCACAATCCGTTCTTTATTTCTCCATCCTTTCGGAGTTCGGGACATGCACACATATGTATCCAGCGTGTTTTTCAACCTGCTGGGTTAGCTAGGTGGGATCCAGATCTCTTAAGCAGTAAGCCCCATGGGGAAGCCAGCTCTCCATGAACCTTTTGAAGCCCACTTGTGTACATATCGTAGTCATTTTTGTTCTATGTTTAATTAATTATTATCATAATCTTACTTATATTACATTGAATGACATATAACTTTACAATGTATTACATTTCTTTTTCCAGAAGGAATACCATGCATATCAGCCAATACAGAGACATTAAAATCCCCATCTTCATCATCCAATAGCTTTTCATTATTTTTCCCGATCATCATTATTATTATTCCCATTTTTTTAAAACAGTCAATCACTATTTCTCATTTTCCTTGTAAAAAGACTTTACCCATCATGAAATACTTCTCAGACCAATCCAGTTGAGAATACTATACATGTCACCATCAACAGATAATAAACCATATCTGTGTCCTACTAATGCCATGCTTCTCTATTTGTTCTCTTGCTATCTTTCTCCATACTCTTCTTTTCTCCCGCCCGTTCCACGCTGTCTTATCATTAACTATTTTCACTGCTTTTATGCCCTCCAATATTTCAATCCTTACCATACAGGGTGGATGGTTATATATATTAAGTGCATACATACAATATCTTTCTTTCATATCTTGGCTTACTTCACTCATTCTAATTTTTTAATGATAGAGAGTATATGAACATAAGAGAAGAGAGAGAGAAAAACACCCTTGACAAGGTCTCATCACACAGTGATCTCTTTTCCCCATCCCTTTGGCTCCTTAGGAGCCTGGGAGTCTGCACACATGCCTGGCATGTTTTCATACCAGTGAGGTTTCCAGGGCCCACAGTCGACCATGTGGCTTCCAGCATTACAGGGCATTTCTTTACTGATACACCATAGTTGTCTCATTCATTCATTCTTTAAACCTGTCCTTTATTGAGTCCACAAGCTCAATAAATTTCAGTTTTGGTTAAGAAAGCAAGTCTTTCTTTCACTTGCAAACAATCTATTTCTAAGTGGCACAGGATTTGGTACCAGAAGCAAAACTCTTCATGTAATAAGTTCTCAGAGGAGATGAGTGCAGGAATTTTGTTTTGGTTATCTGGTCAGATGTGGTGAAAACTATGTGGTGAAAATTCATCTGGGATGCAACTCAAGTAGCCTACAACACATAGTAGTAGCAAGACAGCTCCTGAAATCATTGCCTATTCTCTTGGGCTTCATGGTCCACCGCAGCTCAAGCTCTGGGATTGGCTTCCTGGTCTAGGCATCACCTCCACATTATCCTCCACCCAGGCATCCAATGGTAATTCCATCTGATTTAAAATGAGCTTCTCCACTGTTGGGTCAAGGACCTTTGAACTTTATTTCCAGGAATATTGTAAGTTTACTATGCAAATTTGCAGGCTCCTACTGTGTTTTTCACATGCAAGCTTTCTCCCCTTGCATTTGTATTTGTAAATTGTTTCCCCTAGGCAAGATAGAGGCTAACTAACTCTTTGGAGGTCTAGAGACTTGGGGTGGGAGGGTGGGGGAGGTAGCTGTGTCTGAAGGGAATATGTAGATACTTTCTCTCACTGTGGAGAGGGTATCATGGCACCTTCAGTCATTCAAATATATGGGCTGTTCACTCTAATGATGGAGGCTCTGTAGGAGTTGTGGATTCTGGCAGCACCTAATTTCCTATTTCAAATGCTCCTATTTCACATCTCAGTGCTCTATGCTTTTCTGACCATTGCCCTGACCTTTATGAAGAGACCTGGCAAGGCTGTGAACTCGCGCGAGTCTTGTAATTTAGAAAGGTGATGGTTCTTGGTTATCTTATTCTTGTGGCCATGAAAGATAGGTGATTTCTTAAGCATGGTTATATTTACAGTCCTGGTTTTCTATTTACAGACCTGAACAAAAAATTTAAGGAATGTTGTTGTCATTTAAACTATCCAAAGGAGTGATGAGGGCCATCCTATCTCACAATTCCTGAAGTTTTGTGCAATCATCACCACAATGCAATTTTTGAACATTCCCCAAGTTCCTCTAAACCTCCCCGGTCCTTTCATCTGCTTAGTGTCTCTCTAGATTGGCCTATTCTGTCTAGTTTGTGTTAGTGGACTTACACAATAAGCGCCCTTTAGCATCTGGCTTCTTTCACTTAGCATAATGTGTTGTGAGGGTTCATCAGTTGTAGCATGGACCAGTGCTTCATTCCTTTTTATGGCCAAATAATATTCCATTGTAGCAACAGACCACAGTCTGGGTTATTTACACATTTTGCCTATGGTGAATATAGCTGCTATAACCATATGTGCACAGGTATTTATTTAAAAGCCTGTGTTCAAATGCTCTTGAACCTAGCCCTAGGAGCAAAGTTACTGAGTCATATGGTAACTCCAAGTTCAACCTTTCTTTTCCTTTTTCTTTTTAGTTTTGCTACAGGGCATGTGTGCTTGCCAGAGAGAGAGAAAGACAGAGAGACAGAGAGAGAGACAGAGAGAGAGACAGAGAGAGAGAGAGTGAGAGATCACCCTCCAGGTGGGATGGCCATGCTCCAATCCCTTCTCCATTTTCCTCTTGGTATTTTGAGCATGCACACATATGTGTGTGTTTTTAAAGATATTGGATCCAGGACTCTGATCATGCACTTGGCCATGTGGGATCCAGTTACATTAACCACCATGCCAATAGCTAGCCTGGTTCAATCTTTCGAGGAACTGTCAGACTATTTCCTTTAGTGGCTATGCCACATGGCTTTATGGCTGGGTTGGTCAGACAATGCCTAGTTCATGATGGGCAGTTCAGATCTTAAGATCACTTGTATCATATGGTTATTGGGTCTCAAATCAAGGATTAAAACAAGCTGGAACTTTCTCACTAGCAAATTTTTTTGGAGACATCTTAGTTTTACTTTTACTCCCAATTCCAGAGGCCTGAGCTGTAGGTCTTTAATCAAGCCTTGGAAAAAGTGTCTAGCAGTCCAGGGGGCTGTGGGCCCTCCAGAAGGAATCACACCAAGTATTGGGATTCTTTCTTAGTAGCAAAGAGTTTGTCTTTCGTTGGAGGGATCATCTCAACATGCCTCAAACCACTGTGTGTCCAGAAACTTCACTGAAGTGTTGGGTCCCTGAATCTGCAAGGGGCTTCTCTTCAGCCTATGATGAAACACTCACCAATTCCTGTGTGTGAGATTAGTCACAATCAAGTTATTACTATAGTGGACCAACATGTTGTCTTGCAGGACATGGAAATGATTAAGTCAGTCCCTGGAGACTTCATTATGATAGTGTGCCAGAGAATAGAAGGGACAATAGTAGGGGCTTCTTTTGACCCTTAATAATCATCTTTAGTCTTCAGTCAGGATGCCCCATGGGAATTTTCTCAGCTGCCAGTTGTGTTTATTCCAATTCTACATTCAAGAACTTGGAAGAGAGTCACAGGGTGTTCCACAGTGAGAAGGGTGTGCGCTAGGTTTCCACTTCTGACCAGTGACAGCCTATGTTCCCAGGGATTAGTGTGGGCTAGTGAAGGTCCCTGGAACATAGCCATGGGTCCCAGCGGAAAGAAGGAGGAAGGTTTAAAGTTCACACTTGTGTTCCATGTACCTGACCTCACCTTCATTTGAAGGCTATTACCTGTGAACTGATGAGGTCTGCAGATTAGATGAGGGGCCATGATTCTCCATTGTGGTGTTTCAAGGCAGGAGGCCTTTAGTTTGGCCTATGGTTTTTGTTGTTGGGTTTATACTGATAAGGATCTACTACAGTGGCCTATCATAGTACACCTTGATCAATTCACTGCCCTAAAAGATTCTTGGGGTGGGGGGGACCAGTTTGGTTCCAGGTACCAGCTCTATTGCCTATCATGGTACCCAGGCCCATGGTGCTTCTCTGATATTTAGTGCCACCATTTGTCCTCTGAGACTCCAGGTCCCCATGATCCCCAATGAGATTACAAGTCTGTTTCCATGGCAACACCTTGCACCTTCTTTCCCAGACTAGTTTTCCAGAACTATTACCAAAGTATATCTGAGTGTTTTGGCAAAAGGAATGTCTTTTAAACTCTCTCAGAGGATGTAGTTAAGAGGTCACTATTGGGGGGGCATAGTGGTTAGGGTGCTGGACTCCCACATGGCTTACTGTGGTTCAAGTCCTGGGTCCAGTGGCTCGAAACTCACACCAGGTATGTGGGCATATGTGCCCAAAATCCTGAGAGGAGAATGGAGGAGAAAGGATTGGGGTATGGCAGTCTCCCCAGGGGGTGATTTCTCACTCGCTCTGTCTCTGTTTCTAGTAAGTACATGTGCCCTACACCAAAATTTTTTCTCTCTCTCTTTAAAAAAGTACTGGAGCCAATGTGGGATAGGAGTAAAGCACAAAGAGAATGTCCAAGAAAGGCAGGATCAGCCTCATCTGACAGAGGAGGAGAGATGCTTCTGCTGTAGGGAGGGGGTTGGGGTTTCTAGGTTCAGAGTGTACAGCTTTATTCAACAAATACTTGTAAGTTTCCAGGACTTGGGATATATAGGAGTGAATAAATTAGATTAACAGTTTTGTCTTGACAAAGCTAACATTCTCACAAAGAGTCAGATAATAAACAAGGTACAATTAAGACACAGGGACTAAGAAGTGTGAAAGCCCTGAGGTGGGGGTATCCCCTAAGGAGTAGTCCTGAATGGTCAAGGTCAAGAGGCAGACAGCATGAATGGAAGGAGAAGGGACGAGGAAGAGAACTGGAGGCAGATGCTCACAGCCATTATAAGGACTTTGGCTTGTACACTTAGTAAGATGGTGTATCAGTTCCCTAGAGCTGTTATAACAAACCATGCCCAAACCAGGTGACTTTAAATAACTGAGATGTCTGGATCAGCGGTAAACCACAATATTTTGTGAGGCGATTCATGCAGAAAGGTCTTGGTTCAAGTCTAGAGACCTCCCTGAGTATACCCAGCACATACTCACTCATGATTTGGGGCTGGCTAAAGGCAGAGGGGTGGATTGTGACATCAAGACCCTGTGGGAGGTGCTGTCTCTCTTTCTCTCTCTGTCTTTCTCACTCATAGAAGAAATAAATAAATGCACTTTAAAAAATTGTGTTTGGGGACCAGCAGTTAGCGTGATGGCTATGTCACTAGACTCCCATGTAGTCAACTGTGGTTCGTGTCCCAGACCTGGTGGCTTAAAACTCACACTGGGTGCATGTGCATGCGTGCCCAAGATCCCAAGAGGAGAATGGAGGAGAAGGGATTGCGGCGTGGCTATCCCCCCGGGGGTGATTTCTCGCTTTCTGTCTCTCTGTCTCTCTCTGGCTGTCTGGCGAGTGCATGTGCCCTATGGCAAAAACAAACAAACAAACAAACAAAAAACCTCTCCAAAAAAAAAAATTGTGTTTGGAGTTTATTAAAGAGAGAGAGAAAGAGGGGGAGGGGGGAAGGAGACGGAAGGAGAGAGAGAGAGGGAGATTCTGTCATAGTTCTGGAGGGTAGGAGTCAGAAATCATTCCTATCTTCACATGGCTTTCTCCTCCTCCATGTATGTCTTTTCTTTCTCTTCTAAGGACACTTGCCATTGGATTTAGGGCACAACCAGGTAATCCAGGGTGCTCTCATCTTCAGAGCCTTAGCTGCATTACATCTGCAAAGACCATTTTTCCAAATATAGTCACATCCTCAGGCCAGAAAGTGAAGACATGTACATAGCCTTTGGGAAAATCACACTGTCTAGCCTACAGATGGGAAGCCCCCAAAGGACTCTGAACAGATTAAGAGACAGGACCTAATTTACAGCTTAATGGCTGTTTTTCAGCTCCCATGTTGAAAACAAACTGTAGTTGGGAAAAGTAGAAGCAAGTGGACTTGTAGGGAGCTACTGAAAAAATCTAGGAGAGACAAAATGATGACATGGATCATGGTGACTGCAGTGAGGGTACTATTGTAAAAAGCCATCAAATTCTGGATCTCGTTCGAAAGGAAAGAGATTAGTTTTACTAACTGATTTGAGGAGAGGTATTTGAGAAGAATGAAGCCTATAGCACAATCAGCAGTGAATATCTCAAATTCACTCAACCAAATATACGTACCAATGGAGCATTATAAAATAATGGGGAGTAATAAACTACCCATGGATTGGTTGATACTGAGGACTTCCTTTTCTTCTTCTTTTTTTAAATAAAAAGTCACTTTAGATAGTTATTATCTTTACCTCACAACAAAATAAATTCTAGGTAGAATAAACGTTAGGTGAGGAAAAACCACAGTAAAATAAAACTGAAAAATTTCTAATCTTTGCATTGCAGAGAACAGAATAAAAAGCAATTGCTGCCCTTTGTCAGCAGCAATTCATTAGAAAACATAATGGCAAAAGATCGCAATAAAGAATTAAGTGACTAGGGCTCAGTTCCATCCACAGATTGAGACCTGCACTTGCAGTGGAGTTCGCATCAAGTTGTGCTGAAGTGTAAAACACACGCTGGAGACGCTATGCGAAAACAAGAATGTAAGATATTTCATTCATAATGAGCATTGCTCAAATGGTTAGTAATGATCATACTTCAGATACACTGGGTTAACTACAATTTATTATTAAAAACCAATTTCGTCTTTTTTCTTTTTACTTTTCTTCCATGCTGGAAAATTTCAAAGTCCACATGCAGCTCGCACTCTGTTTCTATTGGCCAGTGCTGCTCTAGCAGACGCGAATAGCAAGCAGCTAAAAAGGGCTTTCAACCTCTCTGTGCCTCGACCTCTTACTTTTTCCAACTGGTACCGATCCGACATCAGTCAGAAGGGGATGGTGTCAGAAAGCGATGAGCTATTTTGTACAGAAAGCTCAGCCGGGATTCAGGTGCAGGAGCCCCCCCGCTTTGCGGAAAAGGCGAGCAAACGCTGGCTGGAGCCACACCCAAAGCTCTGGGCGAAGGGGCGAATTGCGCTCGCGGTAAGCCTAGGCCGTCAAGGGCTAGGAGAGGCCGGAGGCTCATGCGCAATCAGGCCGCGTTCACTGACCGAGTCGGCCAATAGGATTGCATAGAAGGTCCGCGCTCGCCTCGGGCCCCGCCCCCCGCCCCGGCCCCACCTCTCCCCGTTCGGCGCCGCGGCACGCCCGGGCCGGGTCTGGCTGCTGGCCAGAACCCGCTCCAGGGTCTTGAGGGCTTGGGAGACTGCATCGCGGTCCGCGCGCGCCGCCGGTTCCCTCCGGCGTGTCGGCCGCGTCGCCAGCAGGCCTTTAAGCCGGCCTTGTCTTGGCCCTGGCCCGGCGGGGTTCGGGCCTCCCAGCGACGAGAGGTCCCAGCGGTCCCGGACGCTGCTGGTAGCTCCACGCGACAAAGGGAACGAGAGGGTAGGAACTGGTGGGGAAGAAGAGAGGCCTTTCAGCGGGATGGCCCGAAAGTCTTGAGGGCCACAAGCCCCTGGGGTCGGTCGAGTGGTTGCTTGTGGAACTTTCCGACTCGTGGGCTAGCGCTTCTGTGAGGCGGTTAAGCCCTGCACGGCCACGTGGTAAGTTGGAAGGGAAGCCGACACGTGGGACCGTCTGTAATTGGGCAGCCGTGCAATCCATGTGTCCGGCCTTACACACTTAGTTGTGTATAATTCTAGACCCTAAATCCATTTTCTACTCTTCCTGAATTTGAACTTTTGTTTTATTTTCGTGGAAAATCCCCAAATCTGTGTGTGTGTTTGTGTTTAGTAATTATCTTGCCAAAGAAGCATAAGAAGAAAAAGGACCGGAAATCATTGCCAGAAGAAGATATAGCTGTAAGTAGGAATGCATTTTACTTTATTTGGACTAAAGAGAAAGGTTGAACTGTTGCTACAGGGTTATGAAGAATGGGCTGGCATTGGGTGTCATTGTGTAGAAGCAACAAAGCACCAAAGTGACAAGCCCAGACACCTTGTCTCTGATCAGGCCTTGCTTATTTGTTTCCTAATTTACAAGCCTGTGCTTCACTGGTAATACTGCAGTTGCAGTCAGGTGGGAAGCCTAATAGGTTGTGATTCTGTTCTGTTGAAGGAAATACAGCATGCTGAAGAATTTCTTATCAAACCTGAATCCAAAATAGCTCAGTTGGACACATCTCAGTGGCCCCTGTTGCTCAAGGTATGTGCCTAAGATATGTGTCAGCTGAATTCCTCGCTGCTTAAACAGTTTATTAAGACTGCTTACCTTCCGTCAGTCAGCGTCTTACATCTTAGGACATGGCAGATGATCTTCATAGTATCTGAGGTAAAGAACCAGATTTGTTTTTAATTTCCATTGCTCCCAGCATTGTTGCAGGATATAATTGAAATATTACCACAGGGGCCAGCAGGTGGCGTAGCAGTTATGTCACTGGACTCCCACATGGCCAACTGTAGTTCAAGTCCCAGATCTGGTGGCTTGAAAATCCCCCTGGGTATGTGTCTTTGTGTGTGCATGCGTGCCCAAGATCCCTGGAGGAGAATGGAGAAGAAGGGATTGCTGTGTGGCCATCCACCCTGGGGGTGATTTCTCACTTTCCCTCTCACTTTCTCTTTGGTGAGCGCATGTGCCCTAAGGCAAAAAACTCTAAAAAAAAAAAAAATGTCACCACAGTGTTAAGTTGCGGTCAGAGTTTATAAATAGTCCTCAGTTTCTGCAGTTACTCCATCTTGCAGAACTGTACCAGTTTATGGGCCACACTTGGCAGTAGAGCTGCCTTAGATCTTGAGACTTAGGCTTAACCATTTTGGTCAGAATTTGTGGCCTTGGACCAGTCATTTAACCTCTGAGGCTGTATGTTTAAAGTATTTTCTCTTAGGAAGATGTGCTGCAAATATCAGGAGATAGTTTATAAAACATGTTTAGCCACAGTTTCTGGCAGGTAGCTGCCCTTCAAAAAGTATTGGCTATTGGGAGGGGGGCATTAAATAGAGTAGTTCAGTAATGAGTTAAATTATTCTGTTTTTATAATTTTCACAAATGATTACATGGGTGCCAGTTATACAGTTAGGGGGGAAAGTTAGTGTAAAAGAAAAAAGTTATTAAGACATCCCTTGACAAAGAGTTTTATAAACCAGTATATTTATTTGAGGTGGTAAGGAATTGAGATTGTCTGTATGATTCCACACAATTGAGTTTCTATGTGGCCAGAAAATGAGCAGGTGTATGAAGAACTATGATGGGGCATTTGAAGCAGGAATAAGCTGGCCCTGTTGAAAAACCTTGCCAGGCAGCCTCAGTTTAACTGTCTTTTGTCCCCCCCCAAAAGTTATAGCTCTTCCCTGTTTCATTCATAATCCTGTACAGTGAAGACTTGTCTGTTCTTTAGTACCTCAAGAACTTTCTTTCTAGGCTGGTACTGACTCTGTTTTATATGTGTTAATGGCTTCTTACTAACCTTGGGTTGTATTATTGCTTTCTAGAATTTTGATAAGCTAAACGTGAGGACAGCACACTATACTCCTCTTCCATGTGGTTCAAACCCTCTGAAGCGGGAGATTGGTGATTATATCAGGTAAGTGATATAATCACTGGGAGCAAGCACTGTTGAGACTTCTGTTCTTTGGAAAGGATGCTCACACGTCAGTTATTCAAGAAGCATCTTAGAATGGCTGTGCTCTGAATATATAACCTGTACCTGTGGCAAATTCTTTCTAATCCTTCAGATTTGTTGCTTTATTAGAACACAAGAGCAGGTGATGCATTAATTTTTTTCCGTTCTAGGACAGGCTTCATTAATCTTGATAAACCCTCTAACCCCTCTTCTCACGAGGTGGTAGCCTGGATCCGACGAATACTTCGGGTAGAAAAGACAGGACACAGTGGTACTCTCGATCCAAAGGTGACCGGCTGTTTAATTGTGTGCATAGAACGAGCCACTCGCTTGGTGAAATCTCAACAGAGTGCAGGTATGTAGAAGAGGAAGGGAGGGCCTGGCTACTTAGAAGGCTTTCTACCTTTCCCATTCCTTCTACATTTTGGTACTTGGAAACTGTTTCTTCATCAGGGAAATGAAAATTCGGAGGCTAGGACATTCTTTGGGTTTCTATGTACTTTCTATCCTCTGCTAGATAGTGGTGGGTTTGCCTTTCCTCAAAGTTCCAGATACTAGGCATGTGTGCATCATGCTGACTACATTTATTCCTAGCCCCGAGGAAGTTCCCTACCTGAGTCCAGTTCTAGGTTTGTTGCCCTAGGCTCTTTTCACTTCTCTTACAGCCTCTCCCTAAAATGCCTTTCTCTCATTTTCATCTGAACACATTCTCCTACTTTGCAAAATGTTGGCCAGGCAGGCTCTGGACTGGGGACTCTGGCTACCAGCACATTTGAGTGTCACACTCCTGGTGTGACAATATTTCATTCCTTTTCCACATCAGCAGTGTCAAGTATCTTTTTTTTTTTTTTTGGAGAGGTTTTTGCTATAGGGCGCATGTGCTTGCCAGACAGAGACAGATAGAAAGTGAGAAATTGCACCCCCCATGGGAGATGGCCACACCACAATCCCTTCTCCTCCATTCTCCTTTTGGGGTCATGGGCACACATGCACACGGCACCTGGCATGAGTTTAAGCTACCAGGTCCGGGATTCAAACCACAGTCAGCTACATGGGAGTCCAGCGACATAGCCATTACGCCATCTGCTGGTCCCTCTAATAGCTTGATGCAAATCTGACAGAAATGTGAGGTAAAATTACCTGTTCTTCCTGTCATGCAAAATGGGAGCAATTGAGCATATCAAGAGTAGAGAAACAAGAAAACTCGGTGGCTGCACCTGACTACTCTTGTCTTTTTTTTTCAGGCAAGGAATATGTGGGAATTGTCCGGCTGCACAATGCTATTGAAGGGGGAACCCAGCTTTCTAGGGTAAGCCTACAGTTGTAGAGATGGTGCCCTTCAGTGGTATGGGTCTCTGAGCTTCTAAGCATCTGGAGACAGGCCAGCTTTCCTCACTGGCCTCATATGCTTTCCCTGAGTACTTGAAGAAAGAAGCAGGAATTGAAAGAAGAGGACATTATAGATATTAAATACTTGAAAGAAGCCTTTTGTGTTTCACTTGGGTCCTTAAACTCCCCAAATATGCCCTTGAATTATATTTAAAAGTTCATGTGATGATTGTGTTTGTTTGGGTTTGTGCTTATTCTTAGGCCTTAGAAACATTGACAGGTGCCCTGTTTCAACGACCGCCACTTATTGCTGCAGTCAAGAGGCAGCTCCGAGTGAGGACCATCTATGAGAGCAAAATGATTGAATATGATCCTGAAAGAAGATTAGGTGGGTCTCTAGGCCTGTGAGGAAGTGAGTTGGCACAGGCCACAAGTGGGTGAGGATGCGCTCAAGGATTACATTCTGTTGTTAAAAATAGATGCTCTCGGGACCAGCAGATGGTGTGATGGTTATGTTGCTGAACTTCCACATAATGACCATGATTCGAGTCCTGGACCCAGAGTCTTGAAACTCAGGCCAGGCGTGTGTGTGTGTGTATGTGTGCGTGTGTGCGTGTGCATGCCCCAAATCCTAAAAGGTGAATGGAGGAGAAGGGATTGTGGGATGGCCACCCCCTAGGGGGATGGTTTCTCACTTTCTGTCAGTGTCTCTCTGGTGAGCGCATGCGCCCTATAGCAAAAAGCTTTCTCTTTCAAAAGAAAAAAAAAAAGATGACCTCAGCATGTTGTGTAAGCATGGCCTATATGTGCCATTTCTAGTCCCAGTGGCTCAGATGGAGAATAACCTTGGGTTTCTTTTTCTTTTTCTTTTCTTTTTTTTTTCTTTTTTGAGAGATTTTTGCTATAGTGTATGTGTGCTTGCCAGAGAGATAGAAAGCAAGAAATCACCCCCTAACGGGGATGGCCACACTGCAATCCCTTCTCCATTCTCTTGGGATTTTGGGCACGCACACATGCCCAGCATGAGTTTTAAACCACGGGGTCTGGGACTCTAACCATGGCCAACTATGTGGGAGTCCAGTGACAAAACCATTATACATTAAACCATCTGCTGGTCCCAACCTCAGGTTTCTTACCCAGTCATGTGTTTACTCTGGAAGATAGGTGGACTACACGTGTGTATGTGTATCCCTCTTAGGAATCTTCTGGGTGAGTTGTGAGGCTGGCACCTACATTCGGACACTGTGCGTGCACCTCGGTTTGTTATTGGGAGTTGGCGGTCAGATGCAGGAACTTCGGAGGGTTCGCTCTGGAGTCATGAGTGAAAAGGTATGTCTGCTATTACAGGACCAGAAGCTTTTGAGCTGGTTTTTAATATCTTCCCAACCTTTAGTGGAACCTTTTCTGCTTCACATTCTGAGAAAGGCAATTTCCAAAGTGTTGAGTTCAGTTCAGGGCAGCTTCCCTGTTCTGTTAATTAAACTTTGGGACATTGAAATGGGCTAGGGGAGGTGACTGGATAGAAAGTATTATTCTGTTCATTTACCTCCCAGCCTACAAAAATGCCTGCTCAGATTAATATATCACCCGTTAAAGGTGTCCTGGAGAGAGGTGATTTTGAAGAGACTGAAGACTTCATTAGCTTACACTAGTAGACAAGTCATATTCAAGTTTGAGGAAGTTTGGTGTCCAATGGGCTATTTGAGACAATGAATCATTTTTATACATGGTTGCTTTTTAGGACCACATGGTGACAATGCACGACGTGCTCGATGCACAGTGGCTATATGATAACCACAAGGATGACAGTTACCTGCGGCGAGTTGTTTACCCTTTGGAAAAGCTGCTGACATCTCATAAACGGCTGGTTATGAAAGACAGTGCAGTAAGTCTGGGTTAGGAGCCCTCATTTGGACAGAATGTAACTCCAAAGATGAGACATGGTTCTTGTCCTGAACTTGATTCTATTTAGACAAACGTAACGTAGACATTGTGCACTTATATGTTCTTTTCTTTGTGGGTTTTTTTTTTTATGGTTAAGTCAAAACTAACTATAAATTTAAAGTAGAAGTTTACCTGCTAGACCTTCTTTGATTTTAAAATAAGGCAAAGTAATAAAACATTGACTTTAAAAGTTCTCCCAGAGTAAATAACTTGGTTCGAGTAATAAACTAGCAGAAGCACATTAAAATTTGCTCTCCAGTAGCCTGTATATTGTGCATATGGCAAAGAAACCTTCATTTCTGGGAACCAGCAGTTAGCGTAATGACTATATCGCTGGACTCCCACATAGTCGACCGCGGTTCGCGTCCCGGACCCAGTGGCTTAAAACTCACGCTGGGCGCGTGTGTGTGTGTGTGTGTGTGTGTGCCCAAGATCCCCAGAGGAGAATGGAGGAGAAGGGATTGCGGCGTGACCATCCCCCCGGGGGATGATTTCTCGCTTTCTGTCTCTATGTCTCTCTGTCTGTCTGGCGAGCGCACGTGCCCTATAGCAAAAATCTCTCCAAAAAAAAAAAAGAAACCTTGATTTCTTTCTTTCTTTCTTTCTTTCTTTCTTTCTTTCTTTCTTTCTTTGTTGTGATTTTTCAAGCCACGGGGTCTGGGACTCAAACTGCAGTACGCCATGTGGAAATCTAGCATCTTAACCACCATATGGTATGGTGGCCCAAAACTTAATTTCTTTTAAATTGTTAGAAAAAGTTGTTCCAATGGAGGGCAGAGTGAGGACTAGAGAGTTTCAGAGCTGTAATAAAAAATACTCAAGGAATTTTTATAAAAAGTTTGTTGAGGCTATAAAATCTGAGTTTCACTGAGCTTATCGATCTCTTTTCTTAGCATTTTATTAAATCTTATAATTGAGAGTAGTCCTAAATATGCAAGTAGTTACTTCAGTTTGGGTTTACTTGAGGGTTATAAATTCCTGTATAATTAATCATTTTGAAGTTGAGGGACCAGCAAGTGGTGTGGTGGTTGGGGCACTGGACTCTAACATGGCTGACTGGTTCAAGTCCCAGACCTGGCAGCTTGCTTTCTCACTTTCCCTTTATCTCTCTGGTGAGCACACTTGCCTATAGGAAATTAAAATAATAGTAATAATAATATTAAATAATCATTTTTAAAAATAATAATTTTAAGGTTGATGGTTACTCAGATTTAGATCTTGTACCTCATAGATGTTTCATGCATTTTTGTATATTACTGCCCATAATAAAAAGTAAAAAGTAATCTAAGAGCTATACTAAAACATGGCACTATAGTAGTTGGAAAAACTTAGAAATAGTGAAGAGCGTAAATATGATAAGCCTTCCTTGTGCTGGGGTCACACTGTTGGCTTCTGGGTGAACTTAACGAGGAGGGTGGAATGTGGTCAGCAAGAGTGAAGACAAGATGGCATGCAGCAGAAGGATGTGTCATAGGTGCCATGGAACTCCCAAGTACTTGTACCCATTGGCCTATACATTCTGTGCCAATTTTATTTTGCATGAATGTTCAACAGGCCTTGGTGATCTTGACTGATAGTTATGAGGGGACTTAACAGTTATGAACTATGTATATTATGAAGAAACTCCATGGGCTTCAAATTCGTTTTGCACCACAATAATCTCGTACTTTCTCTTTCCTCACAAACTTTTTGAAGTCCCTGTGTACTCGAGGTGCCTGTTATTACCTGGATCTCCAGAAAATATATTTTTCTTGATTAAAGAATAGAGAAGAGTGATTAAGGAAATCTAAGGCTGTCGTTTTTGTTGTCATTGTAAAATGAAAACACCAATAGGTCCCAAGGAAAGAAAATAGAGCCTTAACACCTGATTGCATAATTTACTAAAGACATGAGTGAGGATGCCATTGTTCTTTAGCAGCTGAAATATCACATATAAGAAGTGACCATTATTTGCGAACTATCTTTGGTAGTTTTGAGTTATGTATGTGAAGTACCTGGAGCCATGCTTGGCACACAGCAAGGCTACTGTTGCTCCAGGTCCTTTCATGTCTGGTTTCCTGCTCTCAGGCCCTTCCCCTTGCCACCCGCCTCTGGTCATCCTGCAGGTGAATGCGATCTGCTATGGGGCCAAGATCATGCTTCCGGGTGTTCTCCGGTATGAGGATGGCATTGAGGTCAATCAGGAGATCGTGGTCATCACCACCAAAGGGGAAGCAATCTGCATGGGTAAGAGGGCATGTTGCCTCTGTCAGTTCTGGTGTTGGGGCTCCATTCTGGATCATCACAGCCAAGCTCACTGAGACTGGGTACCTAGGTCCCAGTTTCCCTTGGTTGATTTAATCATGGTGTTGCCTGAGATCTCTTGGATAATCCCAACAGACAGACAGGGTGGTCAGGCATGGGTGAGTGCGTTTCCCTTGTACATGAGTAGGCCATTATCACGTTGTGATTTTTCAAGCCACGGGGTCTGGGACTCAAACTGCAGTATGCCATGTGGAAATCTAGCATCTTAACCACCATATGGTATGGTGGCCCAAAACCTAATTTCTTTTAAATTGTTAGAAAAAGTTGTTCCAATGGAGGGCAGAGTGAGGACTAGAGAGTTTCAGAGCTGTAATAAAAATACTCCTAGGAATTTCTATAAAAAGTTGTTTAAATTGTTGAGGCTATAAAATCTGAGTTTCACTGAGCTTATCGATCTCTTTTCTTAGCATTTTATTAAATCTTATAATTGAGAGTAGTCCTAAATATGCAAGTAGTTACTTCAGTTTGGGTTTACTTGAGGGTTATAAATTCCTGTATAATTAATCATTTTGAAGTTGAGGGACCAGCAAGTGGTGTGGTGGTTGGGGCACTGGACTCTAACATGGCTGACTGTGGTTCAAGTCCCAGACCTGGCAGCTTGCTTTCTCACTTTCCCTTTATCTCTGGTGAGCACACTTGCCTATAGGAAATTAAAATAATAGTAATAATAATATTAAATAATCATTTTTAAAAATAATAATTTTAAGGTTGATGGTTACTCAGATTTAGATCTTGTACCTCATAGATGTTTCATGCATTTTTGTATATTACTGCCCATAATAAAAAGTAAAAAGTAATCTAAGAGCTATACTAAAACATGGCACTATAGTAGTTGGAAAAACTTAGAAATAGTGAAGAGCGTAAATATGATAAGCCTTCCTTGTGCTGGGGTCACACTGTTGGCTTCTGGGTGAACTTAACGAGGAGGGTGGAATGTGGTCAGCAAGAGTGAAGACAAGATGGCATGCAGCAGAAGGATGTGTCATAGGTGCCATGGAACTCCCAAGTACTTGTACCCATTGGCCTATACATTCTGTGCCAATTTTATTTTGCATGAATGTTCAACAGGCCTTGGTGATCTTGACTGATAGTTATGAGGGGACTTAACAGTTATGAACTATGTATATTATGAAGAAACTCCATGGGCTTCAAATTCGTTTTGCACCACAATAATCTCGTACTTTCTCTTTCCTCACAAACTTTTTGAAGTCCCTGTGTACTCGAGGTGCCTGTTATTACCTGGATCTCCAGAAAATATATTTTTCTTGATTAAAGAATAGAGAAGAGTGATTAAGGAAATCTAAGGCTGTCGTTTTTGTTGTCATTGTAAAATGAAAACACCAATAGGTCCCAAGGAAAGAAAATAGAGCCTTAACACCTGATTGCATAATTTACTAAAGACATGAGTGAGGATGCCATTGTTCTTTAGCAGCTGAAATATCACATATAAGAAGTGACCATTATTTGCGAACTATCTTTGGTAGTTTTGAGTTATGTATGTGAAGTACCTGGAGCCATGCTTGGCACACAGCAAGGCTACTGTTGCTCCAGGTCCTTTCATGTCTGGTTTCCTGCTCTCAGGCCCTTCCCCTTGCCACCCGCCTCTGGTCATCCTGCAGGTGAATGCGATCTGCTATGGGGCCAAGATCATGCTTCCGGGTGTTCTCCGGTATGAGGATGGCATTGAGGTCAATCAGGAGATCGTGGTCATCACCACCAAAGGGGAAGCAATCTGCATGGGTAAGAGGGCATGTTGCCTCTGTCAGTTCTGGTGTTGGGGCTCCATTCTGGATCATCACAGCCAAGCTCACTGAGACTGGGTACCTAGGTCCCAGTTTCCCTTGGTTGATTTAATCATGGTGTTGCCTGAGATCTCTTGGATAATCCCAACAGACAGACAGGGTGGTCAGGCATGGGTGAGTGCGTTTCCCTTGTACATGAGTAGGCCATTATCACCATTTGGCTTTCCAGTGCAACATGGGAAGCCACCAACAAGAGAGTAAGAAGTGGTACTCAATGGTAATGGCAGTAAGGAGCCTTTTGTCCACTCCCAGATTGCTTGCAGTGAATTTGGGATTAATACTAGAACTTTACAATTTGTGGAAGTTTAGCTGCTATCACATTGTCCTTTAAAACCATAACTGCTATGTGGCCCTCTTAATAAGTCTGAGCCATTCATGTTATAGGCCTAATTTGCTCCCCAAATAGAACAAGTAGGTCAGTTATTTTTGAAAACTAACTGCTCTGTAGCCACTCCTGCACCTGTCCTGAGCCACAGCTTGCTGTATACATTTAGGTGCTTTGGTTATGTGTTTTTTTGTTTTTTTAAAGAAAAGTTTTTTTTTAAGAATTTTTTTCGTTTTATTCATCATCATCATCATTACCTAATTTGATGAGAGAGAGAGAAAGCCACCAGGCCTGGAACTCAGACCATGATTGGCCATGTGGGAGTCCATCACCTTAACCACAGTGCCACCTGCTGGCCCCGTTTATGTGTTTTTAACTTTATAACTTTAACATCATTTCAAAGGCATCTTTCTTATAAAGGTGAAGTTCCTATATATGTTCATCCTGACCAAGGAAACCCCGATGAGAGGAGTGGAACTCAGAGCTTCTGATAAAGAGGCACAAACTGGTGGATTGGGGCTCACAAGCTTCAAGCTTTTTCCTTTGGATCATGTTTTTTTTTTCCTCTCCAACACCTACAGCTATTGCGTTAATGACCACAGCAGTAATCTCTACCTGTGACCACGGCATAGTAGCCAAGATCAAGAGAGTGATCATGGAAAGAGACACTTACCCTCGGAAGTGGGGTTTAGGTCCAAAGGTGAGCAGGTGGGGTGGTGTGCTCTGTCAGGTTATCTTGCTTTGCGTTGTTCAGTGCTCACTTGGGGAGCTCGTGTCCTTGGAGCTACAGCCTTGTGTTGTGCTGGGATCTGGATCATTGGTCCAAGTGAAAACAGGCTCTATCTTAGTCCTTAGTGTCTAATGGGGGAACACTTGGGCTGACTTCTGGGTACATGGTGGAGTGGTGAATGGTATTTTGAGGCTCCATTATGAGGGGTATGACCTGGCCAACAGGACTGGGCAAGGTCTTCTCTGAAGTCATGCCAATGTAAAGGGTGAGGCAGATGTAGATGAGCTGAGAGGGCAAGGAAGGGGTCAGGGAAGTGGGAACAGCATGTGCAGAAGTGCTGTGGCTGAAGAGTGGGGCAAGCACCACTGAAGCTCTCACTGATAAACTTTGGGACCTTCAGCAAATGCCATGTTTGCTCCCACTGGAAAGCAGGTGAGTGGAGTGTGAGGCTGCCCAAGGGAGGTGATGCTGTTCTAATGTGGAAACCCTAACCTTCTACCAGGCAAGTCAGAAAAGACTGATGATCAAGCAGGGCCTTTTGGACAAGCACGGCAAACCCACGGACAACACGCCCGCAGCCTGGAAGCAAGAGTACATTGACTACAGGTGAGGGTAGGGTGTCTTGGAACCTAGGGTGTGGGAAAATGTTGGTAACAAGCAAGGGTGGTGACAGGTGAGGATAGGAGGGAAGAGGTGGCAACTCCTTCAGGCATGGTGCACATTGGTGAGGACAGGTAGGGGTGTGTGGCAGTTATCCTTTTCTAGTCTGGCTCCTGGGACTCTAGAAGGAGTCAGTCTGCAACAATAAGTGGTGAGTTCTTCTGTCCAGTGTCAGTGTTTGATGGTGGCTGTAGACCTGCCAGATATCACTGGTAATGGATGTGCTGCCCTGGAAAGCTGCTCTGAAAACTTGACCTATGACTGCTCCTCCACCTTTCAGTGATTCTGCAAAGAGAGAGGTGGTCGTTGAAGCAGTCCAAGTCCCACAGGTAGTTGGGGAAGCAGCAAAAGCACTGCAAGGAGTTGCTGAAGCAGTCAAAGCCCCGAAGGTGAGTGCATGCCCGCATCTGTCTGGAATGTGCTTTGGGAGATGATCCATCCTGTGTGTGCTGCACATGTAGGCGCTGTGGCCTCATGTTCCAGGGGACTTCTTTGAGTTCTTTGGGCTCCACTAAATTGTGCTTTCCTGAATGTGGGCTCAGGAACCCAGGTGGCCTTGGCTCCCACCTAAGCTATGGTGATAGCACTGGGATAGAGTGGGTGACACTGACTGGCAGCATGGCGGTGTTGAAATCAGAGGCTGTGGCAGGTGCAGTGGACAGTGGGGGCCATAACAAGACTTGACATGGGAAAACAGCAGTGGTTTTGAGTACCAGCTACCTGGTCCTCTAGCCCCAGGCGTCATAATCAGAAAACCTATAGTTGAAGCCAATTGGGATCTTTCTTGGGGACTCCCTACCTTTTGACTTACTGAGTTTTTCTCATCTGCTATGGCTTAAAGTCTATTAGCCAATTGTTATTCATTTCAGAGGAAACGAGAGAGTGAGAGTGAAAGTGACGAATCCCCTCTAGTGACTTCCCAGGTCATCAAGAAAGAAAAGAAGAAGAAAAAGGACAAGAAGGCCAAAGCAACTCTGGAGAGTGGAGGCGAGCCTGGAAATGGGGTGTGTATGAATACCTCCAGGGTCCTCAGGCCAACTTCATCTCAGCAATGGCAGAATCCCTCAGTCATGCCAGCCTTGTCACCCTTGGAGGTGTGGTGGCCTGAGGATGGGGGCTTTGTATCTTGCTAGTACCTTTCATGACTCTCTACTTTATAGAGTTTTATCGAAGGTGGGCAGGGAGGGTATGTAGTCTGGGAATTGGAATGTCCCTCCTTCCCAGAGTAGATGATTAGGCTGTCACTGACAGGCTCACCGGATTTGTTTTCACATGAAATCTTTTTTTTTTTCTGCTCTTTCTATTTACATCTTTTCCTTTCAATAAGATAAATTTTAACTTAATTTTTATTTTATAACATTAATTTGTATATATAGTTTTAAATAAAATTTTATTATAAGGCTTATCACCAACAAACATAGCCCTCAGTTCACTCCTATGCTCCACTAGGTTCCATTTTTCAGAGGCATTCATTTTCAATCCTCTTAGCTGTGTCATCTCTTTTTTCTTCCATATTTCTGAATAACACATAAGATAGTTATTTAAACATTTCATTTTTTAAAATTTTACTTTATTTTTTAAAAATTTATTTTACACTCTTTACTGATCATCATCACAGCATAACAAAATGTGATTTCCCATCCAGAATACACTGTATAGTGGCTTAACTATACATGTTATCATCAACAAATAGTTTTCCATTCTTTGTTTCTTGTGTATATATATATATTTTCTATTTCTCACCCTCTGCCATTTTTAACCTTTGTCCTTATAGATCCTGGAAAGGCTTATTTGGGTAGAATGTACCACATTTTCTTTTGAGGAACATGGCATGGTTTGGTTCATGAATCCATGTGCTTGCTCTCTCGCTTGCTCTAGGACAGTGACACCACCAAGAAGAAGAAGAAGAAGAAGAAAGCCAAACTGGTGGAAGTGGTTTCTGAATAGCGAAGCCCAGCCCACTTTATGCATCGTGTATAGCTGGGAGGAGAGATCAGAGCCCTATCAAGAAAACAGTTCCATTTGGTGGCTGGTGAAGGAGTGGAATGGGTGGAGGGTTCTAGCACATTTCATCTGCTTTTAGAGGCCTTGGTGATATGGCCTGCTGCGCTCATTCCATCTTGTCCTGTTTTAAGGATATGAGTGGGGAAAGAGGCAGATTGTGTGCCACTGACTTCTTTGCTTGTTTTGGGAAACCTCACCTTCAGACCCAGTACTGCCCGGTAACCATTTTCCAAGGGCCTCTTTAACAACATCGCAATCCTCTCTGTTTTTCTTTAACTCCTCTGCCTAACAGTTCATTGTTCAGCAAAATGCTGTAGAACCCTCCATAAGTGGAAGACTTTAACTGAACCACATGTTTGCTGGGGAAACCCTCACTTCTGAGGTCCCATCTCTGAGGGCCGTGGGGGCTTCTTTGCACGTCACGGCTTGTGTGTACAGCAGCATTTACTGAAATCCCCCGGTCTGTGTTTTAACTCTCGTTGACTTTTAAGGAAAGAAATTGCTCATTGCTGAGAGAAAAAGGAATGTTCTAATTTTTACTTATTAAAGTTAACTTGTTAAGTTTTTTAAGTATTCCTGTTGGGTTTTCTAGTTGTTGGCAATCTCAAACTAGCAGAGCAAGAAATTTATTTTGATTAAAAATATGGGGAACTCTATCCAATTTGAAATTGGTGCTTTCCCTTTATGTTTGGCTAGCTGTACATTTCTCTTACCCTGTGTCTTGCAACATTCACCTGGGGCCTATCTGATAAGGGATCGAAGACTTAAGGGTTGGGGCAGAGGAACCTGCTGATGTTGTCAGCTCTGATGGTCCTGGTGCTGATGACAGGGTGAGTGGGGAGAGTGAAGCTGGGGGTGGGGACCTTCAGGAATCTGAAGGCTTTTGTAACCAGGACCATTAGTGGAGGAAAGTTTTGGGATTGCTTAGGAGCACTTTGAAGGGGAGGGAGCCTGGGTGCAGTGAAGAGACGCCTTTTTCCTTAGGCTGAATTTGCCTCCCTTTATGAGTTTTAGTGGGGAAATTAAATATGCCCGTGATGCCCGATAAAACAACCTGAAGGTGCCATTCTAGGCAGGCACCAGCTGCTGGAGCTTCTTTGCACGTCACGGCTTGTGTGTACAGCAGCATTTACTGAAATCCCCCGGTCTGTGTTTTAACTATCGTTGACTTTTAAGGAAAGAAATTGCTCATTGCTGAGAGAAAAAGGAATGTTCTAATTTTTACTTATTAAAGTTAACTTGTTAAGTTTTTTAAGTATTCCTGTTGGGTTTTCTAGTTGTTGGCAATCTCAAACTAGCAGAGCAAGAAATTTATTTTGATTAAAAATATGGGGAACTCTATCCAATTTGAAATTGGTGCTTTCCCTTTATGTTTGGCTAGCTGTACATTTCTCTTACCCTGTGTCTTGCAACATTCACCTGGGGCCTATCTGATAAGGGATCGAAGACTTAAGGGTTGGGGCAGAGGAACCTGCTGATGTTGTCAGCTCTGATGGTCCTGGTGCTGATGACAGGGTGAGTGGGGAGAGTGAAGCTGGGGGTGGGGACCTTCAGGAATCTGAAGGCTTTTGTAACCAGGACCATTAGTGGAGGAAAGTTTTGGGATTGCTTAGGAGCACTTTGAAGGGGAGGGAGCCTGGGTGCAGTGAAGAGACGCCTTTTTCCTTAGGCTGAATTTGCCTCCCTTTATGAGTTTTAGTGGGGAAATTAAATATGCCCGTGATGCCCGATAAAACAACCTGAAGGTGCCATTCTAGGCAGGCACCAGCTGCTGGAGACCTGGCAGTGGGGGTATTCCAGGGCATGGGGGGTTATAGTCTTGGTCACACTTGAATCCTGGGGCTGACACAAGATGGATGCAGGTGGAAGGAAACCCAGAGTTACAAGGCCACTGGCGTTTAACACAGCAACATTTTTATTATTGCTTTTGAGGGTTTCCCTAGAGTAAGTGTCATTTCTATTGTATGGCCGTTTGAGTTTGACATCTTAGAAAGTTGAAGTTAGAAATGCTTTCTTCGAAGATGACAAATGCCCAGTATCATTGAAGGTGAAGGAATACAGGCTTCAGGGGACAGGGTCCTTTGCCTTTGTGCATCATCTTTCATTAGCAGTTGCATTTTGATAGTACTTCTTACTCCAGTTTCTGGAGATCCTTTAGAAATTATTGTGGCCCCATCAGGAAAATCAACCCCCCTACCACCACCCTTCAGGAACCTGAGCAAGAAGACAATTCTATTGGACTAAGGGTAGTTGCAGAGGGCTGGAAGCTGATAAAACTAGTTGGGAGTGGCTCTGTCTTAAAAGCACAGGGAGAGGAGCATATATTGGATCCCTCCATTCTGCAAACTTAGTAGACCCAGGAAATAGGCACCCACTGTGGAGAATTGCATGCCTGGTCAAAGGCTTCTTGCAATTTCTTAAGGGTTTCATCAACACCATTATTGACCAGGGACAGGTCAAAGTAATGAGCATACTGGGTACGGATGGCGTCAGAGTCCTTCTGCAGCTGTTGCAGGGCTTCAGTCTGCAAAGAAGAAAGAGCCATGACTCAAACAGGCCATAGCACTCCCAGTCCAGGGAGGCTAGTAACAAGTTTTTCTTTTTCTTTTCTCTCCCTCTTACGGTGTAGAAGGGAGAGGGAGGGAGAAAAGAAAGATTTTTGTCAGAATCTTACAGTTAAGATTCTCCCACCCCAGCCTCCCAGTGAGCTAGGATTACAGACATGCATACTGCCATGGCTCTGGATTTAAACCCAGGAGTACCAAGTAGAAGCTCCCTTCTAGCTTGCACCACTGGCTGGACCACAGCAACAGGTTTTAAACACATTGATTGCTCTGTATCACCTACTTAGAGATGGAAACTGGGGCTAGCAGATGGTGTGGAGATTAGGGTGACTGGATCCCACAAGGCCAACTAGGCGGTTTGAGTCCTGGATCCAGAGGCTTGAAAAATAGCATGTGTGTGTGCACATACCCAACGTCCCTAGAGAAGAATGGAGAAGGAGTTGTGGAGTGGCCCTCTCCCCCCCACACACACACCCCAGGGGGTAATTTCTGACTTTCCCTCTGACTCCTACAAGTGGGAGTGCCCTATAGGGAAAAAAAGATGCAAACTCTCAGGACTTTGCATGAGAATGACTGCAAGACAGCACTTCACTAGCATCTCCCAATTCATGCCAGTTTGAACACAAGAGCCATTTCAGTAACTACCAGAGCTGCAATCCCAGGACAAAGATAAAGGTGATGTGTAGTCCAGGTCTTTCTTTGACCCAAACTAGGCCATGGAAAGACTGATCAGTTAATTGTATAGAAGCAGAAATGTCTACACAGCAAAGAAAAAAAAACAAAAGATAAGCCAAAGTAAAAAAGTATCTGCAATTGATACCACAAGAGGCTAGTCTAGAATTCCTAGAAATGAAAAGGTCAATAACCCCACAGAAAAGTGAGCTAAAGACATGGCTGGATAATTTGCAAAAATAAGGAATACAAATGGCTCCTAAAAGAACGAAAAGATAATCTCTCAGTAAAAGTAGGAGATGCCATTTGTTCCTGTCAGGGTGACAACATGTTACAGGCAAAGGGAAATGGACTCTCACAGGTGGTTGGAGGACTGTCAATTGGTGCTAAAGGGGTTCCATGTAGCAACCCCTATCCAAATTCCAAGTGTACTTTTTTTTTTTTTTCAATTTGCTATGGGGTATGTATGCTTGCCTGAGAAAGACAGAGAAGGAGAAAGTGAGAAAGTACTCCCCAGGGGGTACGGCCACACTGCAATCCCTTGTCCTTCATTCTTATCTCAGGCTTTTGGGCATGTACACACATATGCCTGGTGTGTTTTTCCAGCTGCTGGGTCTGGGACTTGAACTGCACAGATGGCCATGTGAAATCCAGCCACCTTAACTACCATGCCACTTGGCTGGCCCAGTGCATATATTCTTGGACTGTTATTCTTGGAGTTTTTCCTACAGATATATTTACATACACATGAAATGCTATATGTGTACGGTGCTATTGATTACAGTATTGTCATAATAGAAGTTTTATTTATATTTTAAATTGCCAGAGGGTGTGTGCTCAGCTGGGAGGGAGAAAGCACCCTCTAATGGGGTGTAGTCGCACCTCAATCCTTTCCTCCATTTCTCAATCCCTTTGGGATTTGGGGCATGCACATGGCAGGCTTCTCAAGTTGCCAGGGCAGGGATTCAAACTGCGGGTGGCTGTGTGAGAGCTGGCTTCCTTTAACCACCAAGCTACAGGACTGTCCCTAATTGGTTTTAAAACAACCCAGCTAGCTGTCAGCAAGGGAATGATTAGACTAAATATGATACACGCAATGGGGGACCATGCAGCTAATGAGGGAAAGACTAAGGAAGTTCTCTATATACTGACTGGGAAAGGTTTACTCTACTGTTCAATAGAAAGTGCATGGATAGGGCTGGGAGTAGGGTGGAACTGGGTAGTGGGGTGCCGGGGAAGTTTTTCAGTGCTGCTATGGCCTCCTCATCTCAAGTTCTCCCACTTGCTCCACCTGAGCCCATGTCACACCAGAGTGTCTAGATTTGCCACTCGACCTTTGTGTGCATCTCTGGGATAATGACTGGGTCTGAGCAGGTCTGTCTCTTACATAGCTAGTGGTTTAACCACTCTCTGTTGCAAATCCCAACCCTCCCTGTACAAAACCCTCCTTCCCACCTGAGCACCCTGGTCAGTAGGTGCGATGAACACAATGAAAGGTGAAAGTTCTGCTGTCCGAACAATCTTCAGGGTCTAGAAAACGAGGAAGGGGAGTAATGAAGAAAAGCAAAGAAAGTAAAACAAGCATAGCTATCATGATAAATTCCTTGTAATAAGTGGCTTAGGGCCTCACCCATTCCAATGTGATTCCGATCACCCTCAGTACTACTATTATGCCAGGCTGACCCCACAAGAAGCACAGAAAGCAACTCGGCTCCTGGAAGATTCCCAGGAGCTTTACATCCCAGTACCCCCTTCCCCATCCCTTGCCTAGTCAACTCCATCCAACTCACCTGGGGCTCGATGTCAAGGATGGCAATCTTGTCCTGCTTATGAATCTGGTGCACTGTTTCAAATTTGGTGCCAAACATGTTGCCCTGGTAGCTTCCAAACTCCAAGAACTCATTGGCAGAGATGTTCCGTGTCATCTCCTCTGTTGAGATGAAGTGGTACTCCTTCCCATCTTCCTCACTCTTCCTTGGTGGCCGTGTTGTATCTGTGCATAACCCACATCACATCCCTGACAAACTCTGGGTCCTCGCCATCTCTTAAGGGCCTGAACCAGGGTATCTGTATTGAAACCCTGGTTGCTATTGGTGAACAGAGCTTAATAGAGGGTTTCCTCCCATAGGCTCCTGAAAGGCAGACCCTAATCTGCCAGAATGCATTTAATTTTTTTTTTTTTGAGAGGTTTTGGCTATAGGGTGCATGCGCTCGCCAGAAAGACAGAGAGAGACAGAGAGACAGAAAGCAGGAAATCACCCCTGCGGGGGTTGGCCATGCCGCAATCCCTTCTCCTCCATTCTCCTTTTGGGATCTTGGGCACACACACACACGCGCCCGGCGTGAGTTTAAGTCACCAGGTCTGGGACTCAAACCACGGTCAACTACATGGGAGTTGAGCAACATAGCCATTATGCTAACTGCTGGTCCCAAATGTACTTAATCTTCAAGAGGCAAAGCCCAACACAGAAAACCCCAAATCACAAAACCTAGGAATACTTGAAGTTCAGAAATGAAGAAATGACAGCTGAATATATTTTAAAAACAGACCTTTGGACTATGCTCAGGAGTTCTTGAAAATACAAGGGAATTTCAAAAAGTTCATGAAAAAGTGGAAGTGGAATTAAAGTATGATTTTAGGGGCCAGGCTCAAGGCCAAGTTGTTAAGGGAACTGGATCCCACATGGACAACAGTGGTCTGAGTCTGAGCCATGGAGGCCTGAAAAACATGCCAGGTGTATATGCACGTGCATGCCCCAAATCCTGAGAGGATAGAGACATAACCATGTCCCTTTGAGGGGTCTTTTTATTCTCTCTCTCTCCCTCTCTAGCAAGTAAGTGCCCTCTTACAAATAGAAAAGAAAGAAAGAAAAGTATGCATTTATTTTGGTGTGAAAAATGGAAATCCATGCATAGTTTTTTCATAATAGATATTCTCCATGAACTTTCTGAGGATCCCTTTGTACATTTCAAGTTTCCTTTTCATGACTTTTAAAGAAGAATACTATGGTTTGGTTTAAACTCATATTGTTGGAACCAGCAGGTGGCATGGTGGTTAAGGCACTGGACAATCCCACATGGCTGACCATGGTTCAAATCCCAGACCTGGTGGCTTGCTTTCTCACTTTCCCTCTCTCTCTCTGTGTGTGTCTTTCTCTGGTCAAATTAAAATAAAACAAATCAATAAAAAAAATTAAAATTGATAATTGTTTTTTTTAAAAAAAACTCAAATTGTTAAAAGTTGCAAGAATCCCATTTGCTATTATGCATATAAATTATCTAATAAGTAACATATGCTCTAGATATTATGGCCTGAAACACAATCCCCCAACCTCTCCTCTTCTGTCTGTCTTCCACTGAACATCTTCCACTTGTCTCTTCCAATTGGCTCCTTCCTTTCCATCTCCAAATGCACCAGAACCTTTCTTTCTGTCTTACTAAATCACTCTGCTTTGACCTGACATTACCTTTAGCTGTCACTCCCTTCCTCTAACTCCCTTATCATTCAAACCCACTGAATGAGGAGCCTATATTGGTTCTTTCTACTTCCAGATTTCTCCCACTCACTCCTCAGCCATGGGCCACTGGTCTCTGCCCATTATGAACCACCAAAATGACTCTCACTATTTCCTTCCTAACAGGGAGGCAATTTTCAATGATCCATGTGTAAAAAAGGTAAATGGAGAAGCAAAGAGTAACAAATACTAATACAAGTTTTAGGATCTGTTTGCTGTTTTTGCTTTCTTTTCTTTCTTTCTTTTTTTGTTTTTTGAGACGTTTTTGCTATAGGGTACGTGCGCTCACCAGACAGAGAGATAGAAAGTGAGAATTCACCCCCCAGGGGGGGTGGCCATGCCACAATGCCTTCTCCTCCATTCTTCTCTCGGGATCTTGGGCACGCATGCTCATGTGCCTGGTGTGTTTTAAGCCACTGGGTCCGGGACTTAAAATGCGGTCAGCTACATGGGAGTTCAGCGACATAGCCATTATGCTAACTGCTGGTCCCTATTTTTGCTTTCTGAGAGTACACAAGTGTACTATGCAGACTCGCTTCTGGGAACGGAAAGGTTCTCTAATGGCCTAGCCCACATACATCTAGGATGTCTGCTGAGCCTGTCTGGGCCTCTCCTAAGCATGGCTTTGATTTAGAAGACATCAAACAATAGTGGGCTAGCTAAGGAAATGACAGTACATCCACTCAATGGACTATGAAAGAGTTCTTAAAGTGAACGAGGCAGACAGTACAGGAACATGAGAAAATGTTTATAAATCCAGATAAAAAAGTGATAAGCATATGTCTGAATACTTTTGCTTCATAATTTTTAGAGCAGCACAGAATGCTAACAACATGGATGAGAACAGCAAGAAACAATGTTGTTATTTGGTTACTTGGAATGATTGTGGGTACAATTTTGTCTTTTCAAATTTGGTTTGGTTTTTATAACCAGACATCTAAAATAAATTAACAAAAGACTACTCTGGTTTCTCTGGTCAGCAATGGTACTAAATGAGATGAAGCTCCAGGCGCCCAAGGGCTACTTACACGGGGCAGGGTACACAAACTTCTCTGGATTCTGGCTGAGCAGGGCATTCTTGATGTGGCTGCGACCCACCCCACTGGCTCCTGTGTGGGAAGACAAGAAAGGCTTCCATATTCCCTCCAAAGAGATGTGGGGATGGCAGTAAGGCTGGGATGTGGATTTTTGTTTCTCAGTGCTCAAAACTGCCAATAGGGGAGACTGAGTTGGTGCTGTATCTGGGCCTTTGGACACCCAACTTCACCCGCCTGTGGGCCCTGCTTTGGGACCTTTCCTGCCATCTGGGGGAGAAGGCTCTTCCTAAGGGATAAGGGTCAGGACTCGGCACAGAGGAGCCAGTTAACGGGGGCAGGGGAGGGGTTGTTTCTTTCCTAAGGATATACACTTTTCTCAGCCCTCCAAACTTGATGAAACTGAGGTGAAGCTGGTGCTTTTACTGGAAATTTTACCCAAACCCTAACGCAGATCATCTAACCAACTAGTGTTTCAACTCGAAGAGCAGGAAGGTGAGCCACTCACCAAACTACAGTTTGCATTCCTATGATTCAGGTCAGTCACTGCTGGGGGACAGGAGCTTCTGGAGTGCAGGAGGGTGACTCACCATGTTCCCTACAATGCTAACAAGGCACTCTAATATATGTAACAGAAAAGCTCATTACTAGAACAATGTGGCTGGCCAGATGGACTGGGGCAAAACCCAGTTTAGTACCAGCCAGCATCAAACCAACCTGAGAGAATTACATGTTGTATAGCACACAATCTGGGAAATTTAGTTTCACTTGTGATTTGGACCCAGATAGAGTACTTGTAAGGACCCAAAAAATTCTGTGTAAAGAACCCAAGAGATGTCATTCTTTTCTTTCCTCACTGACTTTGGGGGAGAGGGTGGGTACCTGCTGCAGGCGGGAAAACAAATCAGAAATGTGCTTACGGGGTGATGAGGAGTCACTTACCGATCAGTACCAGGGTCTTCCTTTTGAATGCAGGGAGCCGGACAACTTCCTCATAGGAAATGACATCCAACTGGTCAAAAACTAGAGACAAAGGAAAGCAAGCGATGTTCATTTCTAAGCCACAGGGTGGAGGGATGAGCTGATCAGCCTGGCCTTATCTTCCCAAGCAGGGAGGTGGGCAGACAGGGAAGACTTCAGACTGTACCGATTTTCAGTGTGCTGGGGTTTTGAGCAAGGAAATGACATATGCCCTTTTAAGTGGGGAAGGATAACCCTGGCTGCTAATATGACTGTAGGAGCCCATGCCCAGCTGCAGCCCTACTCCAAGCCTTCCTGTTTATATTGTGGAGAAACTGAACTTGATTTGAACTTGCCGGGGAAGGACGAGGGCTGTGAGTACTACTAGGTACTGTTCAGGCAGCCACTGGAAGAGTCAGTGCAAACTCATTCTGTATTACTGACCAGCACATTTCATGGATCTGTCAGCCAGCTCTTTCCTAGGCCTCTGATTTTGCAAAACTTTGGACCTCATGCTGTCCTCCTCCTTCTGTCTCTGAGCTGCCTCTTCTAGTGTCATATTACTTATTGCACTCCCCTGGGCTCCAGTCCCCTAGGAAACTTGGGTATTGCCAGCCACTACCCACCTAGCTCCCCACACTGATGCATGGGAGAGCCCAATGTGCCTCCTCCGCTGTGAACCAGAAAGGGGCAAACACAAAGCTGACCATACAAGACTTCTGCTCAAAATCCTTAACTGGCTGTGAGAGACTACAAAGCGAAGTCTCAAAGGCAAGGGGAAGAACAGATCATGTTTCTGTGGCTTGGCCCTGGCCTCACCCTCTCGCCTGCATCCTTGCCCCTTGGCCCCTCCTGCCACGTCTACTTCTGTGTAGGCACCCAACAGGCAGGTGGCTCCAGGTTCTGTGATTGCTCATGGCCTCGTCTCCATTTCAAATGTTCCCACAGGATGGAAGCAATGAATAAATGGCAGCAAAACAGTAGATCACAATTCAGTTATTTACAGCCTACTTGAATCCACTGATGACTGGAGTTTCCCAGCATGGAACATAACAAAAACCCAAGCAGAAGCAGTTCTAAGGAAAGCATGGTACTCTCTGGGGTTGCTCAGACCTGGCAGTTGGTGGTGCTGGAGGGGGTGTGAGCATGGAGGGCAGGCTATGAGCAGGCGTGGCCTCAGGTCCCCACAGGCAGTGAGCTTTTCCCACAGAACCCTCACCACTCAGTACCCAGCCCCCTGCTGTGGGTGCTGCAGAAGCCCAGGAAGCTTACTCGAGCTGTGCTTGGCCAGGTACTTGTCTTTGTACTTTTTCTTCTTTCCAAAGGGACTGCAGCTCGGGGCTTCACTCGGAGCAGACTGAGCCACACTTGCCACTCGCCTGGTGGAAAGAGACAGCCCACAGACTTCGCGTTGCCCTGATTCTCTCCTCCTCTCCCTCACTTTCTTGCTCACCCTTGCACTGTGTATCTCTCTCCAAGACTCCCCTCTGGCTCTCAGTCTCTCTCCCCCTTTCTCTGAATCTCCCCCTTTAAGCCCTCATGGCCCCCACCCTCTTGTTCTCTCATAACCTACCTTATCTTGCCTTTGATCTCTGTCCCTCTGTCCCCCCTCCCCTGCCCCTGCTCTCCTCAGCCTCTCTGGCTCCATGATGGAGAAAGTGAGAGAAGAGGGAGGGAGGCAGAGGAGGCCTGGGGAACCATCCCATGTCAGTCAGGGTGGCAAACCAGACAACAGCTCCACAGAACAACAGCTCATGGAGTGTACTGTCAAGTTTCCATTTGGTGTCATGTGTTAGCAAAGAACTACTCACTGCTGCTCCCAGTCACTTACTGCTCTCATACAAAACATTTGTTTCTACATGGCATAGCCCTCTCACTGTGTTACCACTGGACTTGAGGCTACCGAGTTTGGCATATGCAAATACACCCCTTGCGGTTGTAACCTTCACACTGGGCTTATCTTGCAGAGGAAGAGAGAGGTGAAGCATTGGATATGGAATCACTTGGAACTGTTCTGTGTGGATTTTTCTAGCACCCCTGTGGCCATGTAGTGTAACCTAGAACTCCTAGAACTAGGTAAGCAATCTGACCTGGGGACAGATAGTATTTATTTATACCAGGAACTTGCATCAAGCACACACACTTAAAATGTGACTGCTTTCTGCAGGACTCAGAGAAAATCTTCTCCAAAACACTGTGGAATAGAGGGCCACTGCCCAGGGATGACTCGATCCCCAGTGCTATCATTTGCTTTGTAATCTTGGGGAAAGCACTAGTGGAGATGCAGAGCAATTGCAGCTCCTTTACCTGTAAACAACCTGCCAGTCCAGACCCCTCAATGATCAATTTACTGATTACTGGCCTCTCTAATGATACAGGGAACATTTATTTGTAGATCAACTATGCAATTATTCCTGGCAGACACATGACCCTTCCATCTGTCAGTCCCACCAGTACCAAAGTGGCTCACCACTCCTGCAGTTCGGGGGAGGGGATCAGTCCTGCTGACTCCTTGGAGGAGCCTTCCACCCGTCCCTGCCACCAGTTGCTGTCATCCTTGTTGATGATCTGAATAATGTCCCCAGTAGCGAACTTCAGCCCTGCCTCCTTACAAGGGATCAGGCTGTCCTTTTGGGGATCATAGTCAAATTGCGCTCTCATGAACATCTGAAAAAGTAGGAAAATGGAATTGCAGGCAACCTTTTCAAGAGAAATGCCAGCACCCAAGCATCTAAGGAGAGGTTCCTACTGTACATTATTAGGGTCAGGATCGAATGCATAACAGTGAGGCAAAAGTGGTGGGGAAAGCATGAGAGAGACAGTGAGCAAGAGAGAAATTAGAATGCTGAAGTCTTTGCCACTGCTGACTACTGAATTTGCAGAAGGCAAGAGAGTGATCCCTTTATTTTTATTTATTTATTTATTTATTTATTTATTTATTTATTTAT